GGGACGCGCCCGCGCCGACGGCGGTGGCGGGCTGGGAGCCGTCGGGCGGGCCACAGTTCGCGTCCGCGGCGCACAGGAGCGAGGCGGCGCCCGGAGCCCGCGCGCCCAGCGAGTGGACGGGCTCTCTACCTGCAGCAGTCTGGCCTCGGTCGCGCTCGGCGCGGCTCCCTCCTCCTCCTCCGCCGCCGGCGCCTCCTCCGGCCGCCGCCGTGGCCACCAGGAGCTGCGGCAGGGGCTGTTCCTTTTTGCAACCGAAATCGGGCCTCAGGATGTTATCGATGAAAAAGTTGGTGGTGCGGTGCAGCTGGGCCGCGGGCGGCGGCTGCTGGGCGGGCGCCGCGAGGGGCTGCGGCGGCGGCGGCGGCGGGGGCGGAGGGTGCGGGGGGAGGTGCGGGTGATGGGCCAGGGGCGGCAGGCAGGGCGCCGCGGGAGGCGACGGGGGCGCCGGCTGCGGGGACACCGGCACGCTGTCCCCGTCGCTGCCGCTGCTCCCGCCGGCTCCGGGGCTGAGGCTGAGGCCGAGGCCGCCCGGGGCCGCCGCCGCCACCACCGCCGCCGCCGCCGCCACCGCGCCGAGGCCCGGCTCGCGCTGGCATTTCGGCTCCGGCTGCTGCTCTTCCATGCTCGGCCGCCCGGCAGCCCCGGCCGCGGCGCCGGCCCCCGCCCCCCGCGCCGCTCTCCCCACCCCACTTTGCCAGCGGGCCCGCGGGGGTGAGCGCGGAGGAAGGAGGCCAGGCGAAGCCTCGGCGAAGGCACGGGGCGGGTGCAGCAGGAAAAAAAGAAAGCCGGACGTCTGGCCCGGCTCTCGCCCGCTCTGGTGGAGCAGAGCTCGCTCCCCCCTCTCTCTAATTTGTAGACATCCAGATACAGGAGAAGACACTTGGCTATTTTTTCCTTTTCCTTTTTTCTTTTGTTTTTGTTTTTGTTTTTTTTTTTTCCTTCAGCAACCAGATTTCAGTAATTGGTCTTAATAAGGGAGTCGGCCACAGCTCAAAAATGGGCGGGGGGAGAAAAGAAAAAAAAAAAAGAAGAAGAAAAAGGGGAAAAATTGTAAAGCTCCAATATTGGTTTTTTTTTTTTTCTTTCGTAAAGGAAAAAAAAATAGTCTTTAAAGTCTAGCCATCTTCCTAGGCAGTAGAGAGGGTTTGACTTCCTCAGTGTCACGCTCAGCTGTGCCCAGAGCGCGAGGCTGGCAGCGCCTTTAATCGCCTTGGCTTTTTTGCAGGGAGAGCATGTCTCCGCCAGTGCCGGGTCCTTTTTTTCCCTCCTGAAATCTCTGACAGCTCCGATCTTTGCACAAACTCTCTTGCTTAAAAAAAAAAAAAAAAAAAAAAAAAAAAAAAAAAATCACCCAGGCACACTTTTTGCCTTCAAACCGGAAGCACGTGAGTCAGGGCCGCACGTGTGCGGGACCAATGGCAGGCCGCGACTCGCGCTGACACTCAGGGCTCGGCCCAATGGGCGCGCGCGGGACGTTGCGGATAAATAATCCGGGGGCGGCGGCCGTGGGTGGAGAGGGGGTGCAGCGGCTCGTCCCCGAACGTCCGGCCCCCCCTACCCCGAGCTGTGCCCACGCCCCTCCCCCTCCTTCAGATCCAGACTGAGGAGGGCAGGGAGAGACCGAGGGAGCTAGACTTTGGGATGCAGGCAGATAAGAGAAGCAACTCCACAACTTGTTGGAGAAACATCGGACTGTTGATTCGTGCGCGCTGGGGACAGCGGCAGAGGGCAGGGATTTGGGATACTATGCACACACCCCCACTGCGCACCGGAGACGTTTAGCTTATTCTCTCTCTCTCTCTCTCTCTCTCTCTCTCTCTCTCTGTGTGTGTGTGTGTGTGTGTGTGTGTGTGTGTGTGTGAAGAGGAACGAAACCAAGAGATCCAGCACGAGAAAAAGACTCAAGGTTGGCTTCTTTCAGAGGCTCAATTTGGTTCCCACTAATGGCAAACCAAGAGGCCTGCTATACCTTGCTAGCACTATTGGTTCGTGTCCCTGGCTAGCCACACTGTTGACCTGCAACCGTGCCTTTCCCTGTCCGGGTCAGCAACACCCACGAGCTGCCGGGACGCCGTGGAGCCATGCCCACAGGCCGCAGAAGAGCCCAGCGCCTGCTGCCCTTTCCTTCCTTGGCTGGGGGGAATCTGGCCTGTCCTAGCCTGGAAGAGTTGTATCAAAAGAGCCCCAGAGCCAGGCCACGCAGTGTGCAGCCCTACAAGGCCTAGGTTTGTGTTTCAAGTTCAAGGAAAACTCTGTTAGATTTATCTGCAAAGTAAAAATCAAACTAATAAAATGCTGCACTTCAAATCTTTGCCTTGGCCGGCTGAAGATGTGGGCAACGGGGTTACCCCAAGTCTAAGCTGAATTCGCTGGCATGGCTGCCCACTCCGGCGGCTTGGGGAGGAGCCCTGGGCATTCTCGCCTCCAGTCGCTCCCACGCCGCTGTATTCTGGGCATTTCCTCTTTGTGCTCGTGGAGTGTCTCAAAAGTTTTCATAACGGAGGCTAAGGAGTGAAGGGTGCTGCTAGGCGCCCGGAGTGACCTGCCTGGGAGTTGTTCGGGTACGAATGGACTGCTGAACCTTCTGTACAAGAAAGGGGCCTTGCGCCCGAGCAAAGACGTCTCGATCCAAGTCCTGCTGCTGGTCCAGGCCGACCTCCCCTCCCCTGATCGCCATCCCCAAAGGGTACACTTTCTGACTATGTCTTTGGGACATAAGAGTTAACTCTCTACCCCCAGTTTAAAAATAACAATAAAAAAAAAAAAAAGCCACAGAGGTTAGGTTGGGAAAAACAGAGCCAAGCCCACAAGTCCAGCCGGAGCAGTGAGGCAGTTTGTCCCTGGGACTAGAGAAAGACAAAAATTCGTCTTTTGTTGGCTTCATCCCGGCTCAGCGGAGGACCTCCCGATTTCCCGGGCCAGTTTCCCAAAAGCAGCGTGCTGGCAAGAAGCTCGCCAGAGTTGCGTCTCTGGGGCCACCGCGGTCTCCGCAACTTTCTGAAGCCACTCCACGTCCACTGTGCCACCTCTTAGGTTCTCTTCTGCCTCTAACCCAAGGGATCCCCGAAATCTCCAGTTGCCCTCGCTCCTTTCCCCCCGAAATAGGGGTGGGATTTTTATTTATATTTAAGTTAGCAAAATTGAAATCTTTATCCCGCAAGCGACCGTGGGTACTTAATTAAATTCTAATTAGGACACTATCAATATCCTATTTAGCCGCGTAGCTTTTGTGCGCCGCGGTCCCTTTCAGCGCCGTAAATAGGGTCTCGACGCCTTATCTCGCCTGCAGGAGACGCCGTGAGAAGGGCTGCGGAAGATAATTTATAGGTTTTAATTACTCTTCATTCCGCCTGATCAGCTTGGCGTTCATCACAGGCCTGTGAATAAAACCCTGGTCAAAAGCTCTGTCACATAGCGCTGGCAAGACGTTTAATCAAAGTGAGCGGCCCCGCGCGCCGCGCGGCCCGGTCCTGTACGTAATTTCCAGCCAGCTGATAAAGCCAGCTGAATAATGCGGCGGCCCTTTGGAGACACCATTTACAGAAATGACTTTATTGACGGCTTAACGTCGGTAATTCATTTTACCTTTCATGTAGTGGAGCTCGGATTTGTTACAGTAATAGGATGATAAATGCGCCCGCGGCCCACGAGCTCCGGCTGGATTAGGCTATGCTCCTCTGCAGCGCGTTGGCTTGTCCCCCCCACTCCACCCCCCAGATCCACCCCGGACGGATGCTCCTTTAGACCTGTCGCCGGAGCTCCACGACCCCCACCCACCCTCTTCTCCCTCCTAAAACTGAACATATTGTTGGGAAGTGTATGTGCCTGAGCTGACGTCCTAGCAAGCCTTGGCGTGAGGTGTGTGCAGGCTGAGTGAGCAAATATTGGCTGAGACACTTGTGTGAGGGGTCCAGAGAACATCGAGCTCAGGGCTGGCATGTGGGTGAGGAGCTCCAGCGGGGGCAGGGTGAGTGGTGTGCTCAAGGGTGCGGGTAAAGGGGCTCGGTGTCTGTGTGCAAGGGTGCATGCCAGCGTGACTGCGACCGAGCCGTCCTCGAGCCTTTCAAGATCCTCTTCCTCGTCTTTGGTAGCTAAGGAATGTCTTGCACTGGATAGATGCCCAGGCCAGGAGAGCAGACAGACAGGTAAGGCAACAGGAAGCAGGTCTGGGAACTGACCAGAAGTGGAAACGCAGCCCCTTTCTCCCAATGCTGCCAGTTCCTGGGTCCCGAGCTAATGGAGGAGGTCAGTGCTTAGCTTACATTGCCTGGAAGTTTTCAGATGTGTGGTTACCTGTGCAAGAGTTCTCCCACCCCCACCCCCACCCCCAAAACAGAAGGGCACAGCCTGGGTATTATCTCCTCAGTAGACTGACTTGCCACCTTTTCATATCCCAAGTGAACTTGGGAGTTGGGAGGGGGACTAAAAAAAAGAAAAGGATTTTGTTTACTTCCAAAGGCCAAAAGGTGTGAGAGTGTAAGACAGCCTCCTACCCTCTTCCCCTCAAAGCAACCTCCAGGGCTGAATAACCAAACCCTCCAACCCTCCCCAGTCCTTGAACATCCTCCATTCCTTGAGAGCTTGGCTCCTCTAACTCTGGCTGGCTTCCGTGCAAAAGACATCTGGCCCAGCAGAGCGAAGAGTGCAAATGTGTTTGAGGGAAGGGAGGGCTGCAGGGAAGTTTGAGATCAGACAAAGGGGAGGCTAGAGTTTTCTAAGGGTGAAAACTAAGAAAGTGTTTCCAATTCTTCTCTTTCTAACCTAGTAAACAATGGCAAAATATTTAAGTGCTTATCTGTGTTTGTTCGCCTGTGCTGGTGAGAGACACCCAAGGGGAAACCCAGTCTACAAAAGCACTGCTTGGCTGTCGATGTGTCACCGTGTGGCGGACAGGAGACCCTCAAATGGCCGGGCCCAAGGCAGCCTCACCCATGTGGTCTGTTTGCTGAGAGTCCGCTGGGTGACCTATCAGAAAAAAAAAAAAAAAATCTCCTGCCATTTGGAGGGTTCCGAAGAGTTTTGGATTTTGTTTGTGCAGAGACGACCGTCTCCCCGGCCTCCAGTTTCCACCTTTGGGGGGGGGGGGGGGGGGGGAAACAGGAAAGCCAACCTTCAGGCCCAGAAGGGGTCTGCCGTAGGTGGTGTTCCTGCGCACGGTGGTAATCCCATTTCCAGTGCAGATCAGATGGCAGTGGGGCCTCGCGGTGCGGGACATGAATGAGTTGTCCCAACACAATAGCACGCAGCCTTCCTACGGGGACTGGGTGACCAGCGGTTTTGTTGGGAGTGAATACAAGGAGATTTCTGCTACAAGTGCCGGTATTATCATGAGCCAGAAGGTCAGACTATACATTGCAGGTCCCCAAAGCCTATAGACCTTGGGAAATGTGAGGCCTCTAGCTGAGTGATTGTACCTGACAGTCTTTTCAATAGACTAATTCAATTAGCGCTCAGTGCTTCGGTCTTCATTTGGAGCCTCTATCAATATGGAGTGGGTGGGTGCTGGAGGGGGATTTCTTGGGTGTTGGTTAAGGATCCTCAGGAATTTTGTCAGAGAGGTACTGGGAGAGGACAACAGGGGTGGGGGGAAAGCCAATGGATGGATTGGGTGCAGGCTCTGGA